TGTGACGCCTATCCTGTTAGATGGAGGGGAAAGGAAGTTGTAGAGACACACATCGGATAGTCCCAACGGTTTAGTCTGCCCATAGGGGAATGTTACTGGAATGTATTGGATACGACCGCGTACAATCACGGTTGAAAGCTGGGTGCCAGGGTGGGACGGGATAAGAATAGCTACTGGGTTCATTCATGTACTTGGGTGGAGTCACTAGTTCTCCGTTGTGAAACGATCAAACAACCGCATTAATGAACCTCTGGAGGCCAGCTCGTTTCATTTCGTACAATATGTTGTATTTCGGCCGCTGCAAAAGACAGAGTATACCACTGTCCCCCACGACGTGGTCCCAGCAGTGACTGGTGCACGAGTTTGTTCACACGGAAGCAGACTTGCATTGCATCCACCCCATCCTCCTCCTTCCGTATCCTCGGCGTTGCGATGACGCAACTTAGTCAAAACAACCTGCGGTAGACGTGGACACGGTAGATGACAAGCCTAAATATCCTGTCTACACATGCCACGCTCGACCTTAGGCTCAACAGCACACACGCCAGGCTTCGTTCAGGAGCCTCGGGCCTCGCCCAAATTATGCAGCCGGAAAAATTACGCTAAGGGAGGGAAAGGAAGCCTCCATCACCACTTGACCTACCAACTTGGCGACCCGAACTACTGCGCTCGCACCATTATCCCTGTGTTGTTGAAGTTGAATTCATGACTTGCTTCCAGGATATAGGTGGCGATGGGTGACAGAGCGCGTCCCCTGTGTGCAGTCTTTTTTGCTTGCGCATTGTTTAGCTCAACCTTCTTCCGGTCTGACGGATGTAAATAAAAGGACAATTACGGCATTTAATGCGATAAACGGTAACATGTTGCTTGCTCGCGATCAGTTGGTTTTGGGTCCCTTTTGCACTTGTGTATACAGTAACTTCTGGGTAAGTGGTGACGTCAGCATCGGACTCTGCACTAATACGTTCTTCGATCTGAGACATTGCGGATATATGATAGTGAGTGTCATACCCTTGGTGAGAATATCACACTTGTCCTCGGCGAGTTAACGCGGAAACAGTGGACTATGAAGGCTTGAGGGTATCCGTCCTTCTAGAACTGCCTGAGTAGATAGCAAATTTCTTGTGCCTGTTTCTCTGGTTAATGTAGTGTGATTTCCTCCTTCAGACGACAGGTGGAGATCAGGAGGATTTATACGTGATCGGGTGGGTGTCCTGATAGTTCGCGCTTATGTCATGTTGGTGGCCTTCATGTAGACTTGGGTACAAGGTGTGGGTACAGTGTGTGCATCATCCTCATCACACTGAAATTTCCTCTTATGTGTGCTTGAAGTCATTTGCCAATCTGGCCTCTCGGCTTAGCTTCTCAGAAGTTAAGTTAGATTCGGCAGACGATACTCACTGTCTTGTGAAATAGTACAGGGGTCGTCGGTCATATGATCAGGTACTAAGTTGTTGTCTCTGGTCTCTGGCCCATAACGATCCTCAATGGCCTTTCTAATGTATGTAAGAAGTTACTATAATTTTCGGTTTGGTGTTCTCTCATTGAAATTTGGCTTGTTTTTGACTGCTTGCGTCCCACGACGAAGCTATGCGCAAGTATCTGCTTGTTATAATGAAAAGCCGGATTTGACGGAGCTCAGACATATTGTTTGCAGCCAGCTGCGGTGTGCTTTTGCCTTTTTGTAGGGAACTATACGCAGCGGCGTTAGTAGCATGACCGATACTTGCTGTGGTAACGTGGTATTTTAAGTGTTATAAGTGCTTTTTAGGTTTTCGATGGACGGGAATGTCCATAAACGGTAGTTTGTCGTTGGTGACCGCCTCCATTGCGAACTAGGTGCCCCGAAAACGGAATTCTTGGGCCATTTCTCATTTGACGATGAAAAATGCATTGTCGACATACCGGGTTCAAAATTTTGACCTGCGATTTGCGAAAATTCGTTTCTGGGCTTTTAGGATTAATGGCTATAATAAAAATCCGAGAGGCTGCGATCCCATTGCCATCCCCTTACCTGCCCGTGCATGGTCCTTTCAAATGTGAAGTACCTCTTGTGGCTGAACCTAGGGCAAGATGTCTCCGCTTCACCGTCTCGCATTCTCGTCACACCGGTTCTCGAGCAGTTCGTTGAGAGTTTACACTACCGGTTCCTGTGGGATCGAACTGAAGCAAGAAGTGATGTCAACTGACACCATAACCTGATTGTCCTCTCCTGGAGTCATTTCGCGGACTTATTAGCTTTACCGACCGTAACACTTACGTCCGAGCTGAGAAGATTCAGGTGTCGCAGTTATCATTGAGCTAGGTCGAAGACTAGTGTGCTGCGTGCGGCAGCTAATGTGTTGGGTGTGCCTCAACCCCTCAAAAATCGTCAGGCCAAGTTTCGACCAGCACGTGATGACATACATCAAAATGATCGAGTTATTTTTTACAAACTTCTTGGCTGCAGTCTCAGGCAGGGGCAGCCTGTGCTGGTAGTGTAAGCCAAAATGTGTGTGAGGGAGCTAGGGTGAGTCTGCTCGATCTGGCAGCCTAAAATGCTCGTTCCGTTAGACAATCCGGGGAGCAACCGGCTTGAACGTGGATGACGTTAGCCTCTCGAGAACTAGCACGCTCCGAGGTGGACATCACTGCTCTCGGCAAGACCCGTTTCCACAGACAAGGTCAACTGAAGTAGGTGGGTGCCGACCACACCTTCTCCTGGAGCGGCCACTCAAAGGCAAAGTGACGTGACGCTGGCGTCACCTTTGCCTTCCGAAACGACATAGTGGGACGACTGTCCTGTCTGCCTCAGGGCATCAACGACCGTCTTGCTACCCTGCGCCCGTCTCTTCGAGGAACCAAATTCGCCAACATCGTCAGTATCTACGCACCCTCCAATGGCAATTTCGACGAAATCAAAAACAAATTCTACGAAAAACTACACGCTTTCCTGTTGTCCTTGGGGACTTCAACGCCCGAGTCAGGACACATCATGCTGTCTAGATGGAGGTGCTGGATCTCCGCAAAATCGGCGGCTGCGAAAAAACGGTCTTCTTCTCCTAAAAAACTGAACAGAACACCGTCTCCTTTCCCTGACTAACACCGTCTTTGACCTTCGGATGCGGCAGAAGCAACCTGGATGCGCCCACGATCGCAGCGTAGACAGCTGCTACAATAGTTCTCGTATGGAGGCGAGATCGACAGAAAGTCCTGGTGAACAAGGCGATCTGAGACGCCGATGGCTGGACGGATCATCGCCTCTTCATCTCTAAGATGAGGATCCTGTTTCAATCCCGCAGGAGACCATAACGTAGGCGACCACCGGGTAGTTTAAATAATGTTCTGTTAAATTTGCCTGCTCCCTGCCTATATTTCTGCAATCAATTGGCCCAGCCATTGGAAATCTGTCAGCGCCGAACGACAACACCATCGCGGAGACTCGATTGTGTCAACCGCGAAATACTATTCAAGGAAATGTGGCACCACGGATAAGTTCCTCAGAAGTTCAGCGACGCGACAGTCGTCTATTTCTGCAAGCGGAAATGGAAACGACAACTGTGTGACAACCACAGTGGAATCTCACTGCTAAACATCCATGGAACGATCTTTCCTCGGATTCTCTTCAACCATCTCGAACAAGGACTTCCTACGGAAAGCCAGTGTAGCCCCCACCGTCATCGTCGCGGAACTACCGACGTGAACTTCGCCGTCCGTCAGCTGCAAGAGAAATGCCACGAAATGCAGACCCACCTCTACACTACCTTAGTGGACCTGACGAAAGCCTTCGACACAGTGAATCCTGAAGGACTGTGGAAAATAATCCAAACATTCGGCTGTCCTAAGCGATTTACGCACATTCTGCGTCAACTTCATAGTGGGATGATGACGCGCGTTACGGGCAACAGAACCGCCTCAGAAGCATTTTCGGCAAATAACGGAGTGAAACATGGCTGCGTCCTCGCCCACACTTTCTTTGGCCTCATGTCCTCTGCCATGGTGATAGATGCCTATCAAGATGGGTGCCCCGAGAACCGCCTCGCATGCGGGACCGATATCCAACTTCTCCATGGCTTGCGCATGCAGGCCTCAACGCGCCTCTCTACGACTTCTATCCACGACCTGCTTTTCACCGACGACTACGCACTCAACACCGTTGCAGACGCTAACATACAACGGAGCATGAACCTCTTCACCTCCAGCTGCGTGAATTTCGGACAAAACGATTTCATGCACCAACTGCACCCAATGCTCCATACAGGGCTTCTCGCATCCACGTCAACGGCACTCAACTGAAGACCGTGGAGAACGTTGCCTACTTAGACAGCACACTTTCACGTTGCTTCGGAATCAAAGACAAAATGGCGCACCGGATCTCCAAACCAGCCAAGCCTTTTTGTGGAACCGTCACGGCCTGTAGCTGAATATCAAACTGAATATGTACAAGACCGTCTTCCTGACGACACTTCTTAACGAAGCGAAACCTGGACTATCTTGACGACACTGCTGTATAGGGAGGAGACCTGGATAGTCTGCTTTCACCTCCGTTGTCTCAGCTGAATACTAAAGCTGAAGTGGCAGTACAGGATCCCGAACACATGTTTTCGAACGAACTGGAATCCTTAGTATCCACAATAGGCTGAGGTAACTGCAACTACGATGGAGCGGCCAGCTCGTGAGAATGGAGGACGCTCGCCTACCAAAACAACACTTCTATTGAAATGTCGTTTTGGGTGCTCGTCAACAAGGTCAATTCCGCTGCTATAAGGGCGCCTTGGAGAATCATTTGAAGCGGCTATTAATCAACCGAAAACTTGGGAAGACCTCCTATAGAATTGACAGGCCTGAAAAAGAGCAGTGAAGACTGGAATAGCCATTCATGTAGCCAACCGGATTATCGCTGTCAAAGCCGAAAGGGATACTTGGAGGTCTCAGGTGCTCCTGACCAACCACGCCGATATGCCCGCGCTGTTAACGAACATTCGCGCGCTGATCGGCCTCGTTGGACATTTCCAGACTCAATGCGCCAGCCCGACAGCCCCAACCGCTGTCTCTCCTACCGCCTCTGTTCTAACCCCCACGGCTTTCACTACGACGAACGCCCTTACCGCCGATACGCAACATCATCATGCCCGCTGCCCTCGATCACAGTCATCTTCGTCATCCCTGCCATAACCTCTGCGGCGATGACGGCCACTACAGCCCCCACTCCCGTGACCGACCAAAACGAACACGATGACCCGCCGACCACCACGCTCACCATTGCCACCCCCACCTCTAGCGGTGTGGACTGGGTCCTATCCTGCCCTCATTGCGATTCCACATTCGCCTCAAGCATCGGCCTCATCAATCACTTGTGAATCCATCGCACTTCGACGGACGCACCATTGCCAGGAGCCCCTCGTACACTCGTCGCATCCGCCCTCACTGTCCACAGTGTGCACGCACATCTATTCATCGCATGAGCTTATTCGGCCACATTCGCGCCCACAGCAGCCGAATTCATAGCAGTATCGACACACTTAACGCACTTTGCACATTCACCAACCCTCCCACCCTCAACCCAATCAACTCCCCATTGATCATCGGGCTAGACACTAACAGTACTACAACAGCGTCCGGCTTATCATTTTCCAGCCTATCCTGCCCATACTGCCACCGCACATTCACCTCGCGTACCAGCCTGGTCTGTCACTTGCGAATCTATCGCACAGAGACTGGCCAACCAATGCATCAAGCAACAATATACAACAGACGTCATCGCCTCAACTGTCCGCACTGCCCCCTACATCCAATCAATGCATGAGCCTATTCGGTCACGTGCGCATTCAGGAGAGCCTGCAGTAAATCACCGTGGACATGATCACACCTCAACACACTTCCCCATCAACACTTGCACCACACATACACACCTCCAACAGCTCACACGACCGGCACCTCTTTAGTAAGTGTCAAGTGTACTCTTCGGCCCCCTTCTCCCTGTGGTTCCTCCGCTGCGTGTGAGATCAGAACGGTCAACCCCTTGTGTGTGAAATCCTGGGATGTGCGCATAGGAGCCATGCCACGTGCGCCGCACGCTCAGACGACCTACTTGAAGCCCTGTCAGCCACCTCGTCTTACTCTGGGTATGTTACCACAGTGTGTACGTTTGAGAGGCCAGGCCGTGCATGTGGCGCGCGCAGACGAGCTCTCTAGCTCTGTCAGCCGCTGCGCCCATTCCTCGCAGCAGACATCTGACCCGTCCGGACAGTGGACTGGTGCCGGGGGGTGGTAAAAGTGAGGTCGACTTCTCCGCGCATATTCCTCACTACAACCAATCTGACGAGCTTGAATCCTCCAAGCTGCGCTATAAACCGTAGATTGGAAGGCTGCCTACTGATGGATAACACGAACACCCCAATCAGCCGACAGGAAGACTGAGAGTCAGGCTGCAATGGCTCCTTCTCAATGTGGCCTCTACGGCGCTTTCACTCAATGGAATCCGAACCGCCACCCCCTTTCTCCTGTGTAAAATCGTGGTCACTGCATGTTGGTCATGACACCGGATCCAAATGGGGGAGGAGGACAGAGTCCGGTGGATGCTGCGCAAGTCCACCATCGCTGTATACTAATTCACGCGCAAGTCACCGCCCCTGCTTTCATCCCGCTGCGGAGCACACGGTGGGCATCATCGGAATCGGTCAAACTGTCGTATGTTGTGGACCAGGGGTGTGGTGGCGCGCCTAGGTTCGGGTTTGCGTCGTGTAGGTCACCTACAGCTTCTCTCGCCTTCGGTCTTCCTGACTGTCTTGAAAAGATATCCACGTGAGAGAGAAGTGGAGAGTGCGGTAGAGGCAGCGCAACTCCACCATCACCTTAAACTAACTCGAGCGCAAGTCACCGTTCTTGCTCTTGCCCTGCTGTGGGGCACACAGTGGAGATATTTGATCACGACGGTCTAACTATCGTGTCGTGTGTGCTGTCACCTATGCAGACTCGCGGGAACGAGTTGAGGAACCTTGTGAGCTAGTTTATAATGTAGCTATCGGCTGCATGTAAGGTAATTTGAACGCTCCGTAGGAGGGTACCGACTTTGTGCATTTTTGACAGCCCGTGCAGCTTTGGTGCGGTCACATTCGCTGGTTTAACAGACACTCGTTTTGACTTGCCCGTTGCCGTTTTTCTACAAGCCTACCAAATATTTTAGACCTACGCCACCGGTTTCCTCATCAAGTTTCCAGTCGACCCCTCTGTAGGACGCTGGTCTTCCGCAGGTGGTCAGCCTTATTCACTATAACTGTAGAATAATCCCTGCAGGGTGACAATACGGCACTAGTGTCAGTCTCCCATGTCTTCAAAGCGCGTCGAAGCAACTTTCCTCGGGCTGCCAACTCCTTCCAATCCTTTCTCGAGTTGTTCTGTACAAAATATGCAATCACCCCAATTGGTGTCCGTTTTCCCCTTCCATTCAGGACCGGACCTGAAGGTCGTAGTAGCCAGTTTCACTCCCGGCTTCCAGCTTCTGCGATCCGGATCCCCACCACATGTGTTGCTCTTCCTGCGGCCTACAGCGTCCTTCAGATTCAACCCAACAGAGGGAACAATAGGCGGGAACCTAAGCCAAACACGGGACCCGAATCGGAAACTCGATTGTAATGCTTGCTAAGACGTAAATCCAGTCGGGTGCTGTATTCTTCTCGCTTCGTTTGGTCGTCCGCGTGCCTGAAAATAAGTGTACAATGCCGGCACCGAGGAGTGAAGAGACTCCATGTGACCGCATTTCTTTTTTTAGTGTCAACTGCGACTGGGACTTCGGCGTCCGCCGCTACCCGGTCGGCAGTAGGAAAATAACGCCTAGCGTACCTTTCCTAGCCCATTCCATGCGAAAGGAAAGAGCGTTTGAATGCCCCCCGGCCACTGCTTTAGATTTTCGCAATCACTTTTGGCGAGGTCCTTTTACCCTCGTGAAATGGTGGCCGTGCTCGAGGAGGCAGACGCTGCAATGGGTGGCCCAGCCTGCCGTTCGTTCGGTAACGGTTGTGGATCCTGCTTTCCTAATTCCTCCCCGAACTTTACCTGCCCAATAATGCCCCCTTGGTTGCGTAAGATCTACAATCTGCCGATACAATCTAGTGTCCAGGCATTTACTATCCACGCACGTCGAACGTCTACCGGGCTTTGGAGAAAATATCTCACCCTTCCCTCCTAAGTACACCGTCATCGACTGTAAAACACGTTGGTCATTTGGTTGAGGGCCTGATCAATAGTCCCTTGCAAATTCCTCTATTACTCAGCTGTTCATACTAGTAATGATGTATGACATTGCCCGAAGCGCGAGATTCTCCACTGTACATGCTACTTTGACTTCCGTGCCGTTCTGCGGACAGCCCCGGTTGTTTCTGGGATTGACTTCGTCAAATCACCCGACGAGGCCAACAAGCCTCTTTCCGTCACAACTTCCGTCCGACGAGTCGGCTCGGTTAAAAGCTTACAGATTATCCTCTTTTCTATCTGTCCATTTCTAACGTGTTTAAATTTCATCCGCCACATTAGATGCGAATCATGGGCCGCTTCTTACCGTACGATAATTGCCTCCAGGGGGTATTTAAGTCGGGCCTTCGATTTCGCTGACTGAGGTAGCCCGTGTGAATCTCAGGACCGAAGTCGGCTAGTAGGAAAGTAA